AAGGCCAAACGCACGGCGGGTTTTGTGTCTGCCCTAACAGAGCTCAGCACAGGTTTCAGCGCTTAACACCCTGCCTGGGTCGGGGAACCTGGACCGCAGGAGGAGGGGAGGGCATTTGGTGGCCTTATGATCAGTCCCAGCCTGTCTCTGGGGAGGGGGTGGCAGCTCGCCAGGCCAAGCTTCACCTCATTTGAGTACCGCAGCGCTCCTCTGCAGCAATCCTCCCCGGGCTGGGCTGTGTGGAGATGCCAGAGATGCTCTGAGAAGGGGCAGCCATGTCTAGGCGGTGTGGCCTGGGCTATGGGTGAGCCGGGGGCCAGGAAGGGGAGAGGAGCATGAAGTAAAGGGCGAGTGAGAGCAGCACGTCCCGGCGCATGTGTGTGCCGAGGAGGGACACGTGCAATGTCAGGGTGAGCGCAGTGGAGGGCAGACAGCCCTGCTGCCGGTCCTGCCCTGGGCACCCTCCTGCTTTCCGGACCTGAGCTGGACGGTGCTGGAGCAGCTCTTAGCGCCAAGTGGAGCACTTAAACGCATCTCACCCAGTCCTGCCGAGGCGGCGGCTGCTTCCCAAGGCACCGGAGCCAGCTCCAGAGCAGCAGGGAGGAGCAGCACGGACAGAAGGGTATGGCAGACATATTTTCCTTGCACAGGAGATGGCAGAGACCTGCAGGTTTGCTCCAAGCACTCTGCCAATGGTATCCCCTACGCACCCAGGAACTCCGCTTCCCGCAGAGCCTCCCCTGCCCGTTCTGCATCCCCCAGGCTGCTCCTCCTGCAGCGCCCTGATAGCCCCTACCTTCACAGCCCTCGGGTGGGTGCTCCCAGGAGCATCTGCCAAGGGCCAGGGAAGGCAAAGGGCGTTGGAGAGGAGGCATCAGAGGCTGTTGGTAGAGAGGAAGAGCTGGGACCAGCGGAGAAAAGCATGCAAGGGATGCGGATGCCTACATAAGCTGCAATACCCAAGGTAGGGGTGAGCCAGGATGGGTTTCAGCTAAGACTGATTAATTTCAAATTCCCCAGCGAAGGCTTGGCTGCTGCTTTGTAAAATGTTTTCCCAGCGTGGCGCCAATCTCACAGTGTGCAGGGTGCTTGGCTCAGAGCAAAAAAGCTATCGGAGCCCTGAATTTCAACGGTACCAACTTAAATTGAACTTGAAAATATTCAAATGCTGTGGTTTGTTCAAGTGGTTCCAGACAGAGGCAGAGTCAGTGAACTTGCCAAGTCATTAGAAAATAAATGATGCTTCAAAGATTTTGTGGTTTGAGGCACTTTCTGTCTCAGAGGTTTGATTTGCCTCTGGGCAGGTTTATGCATTGCTGCAAAGGCTGAAACTAGCCAAAAAATCACTGAAATTTTCTGTGCAAAGCATATAGTTGAAGCCATCTATTGTGGATGACCAGTTTCTAAGAATTTCTCAGACACTGATGAGGTGTCGGTCCCATTTTAGGGGAGGACAATAAAGGGCAACAACATTCAGCTCAAAAGTCCAGCTCGTCTCCTTGGAGGGAGGCATGGAGGAAGACTGATGCTGTGCTGGGTGTACCAGGCACACCTCTGGCACGTGGCCTCTGCAGAAGCAGGGGCAGGTGAGGGGTTGCTGGTCCTGGGGAGGCACTGGGAACACTACACGTGACTGCTGTGTCCCAGCTGCCGGCGCTGAGCAGGGGACGCCACGCCAGGCACTCTCCACTCTTGCAACATGGCTTGCCCAATCATGGTGGGAAGCAAACGGGAAGGGAAAAGGTAGGATGTGCCGAACAGCCTTACAGCATCCACCGTCCTGAAATTCCCCTGGCATGGCTTGTGAAAACATCTACCCACAGAAACCATTACGGGCTAAAATCAGCACTAACTGGGGGGAGCAGGTACCCAGTGCTGGGGGATCCTGGTGCAGCTGGACCGGGAGCAGGGCAGGGAGGGCCCTGGGTGCCAGCCAAGGAGTGCAGGGGATCTTGGAGCAACAGTGTGGGGCAGGGACGGGGTTGCTGGGGGTCATCGCCTCCCTAAATGAGAGGGCACATGCACAGACCTGGGGCTCTAAAGGACATCTGAGCTGGGACACCAGGCACAGCCACCTGCAGCACAGGCAGCAAAGGACAGGGCTGTGGTGGGGAGCTGCCCCACCATCAAACAGGGTCAGCAGAGAACCCTACTTGCACCTGCAACGGTGGGAGGTTTTTGTACCACTTCCCCATTGCTCCATGTCACTGTGGCAGCAGTACTGCTGCTGTCGTAGCTACCACAGTAATAGACAGCCTCGTCCTCGGCTTGGACCCCAGTGATGGTTAAGGTGGCCGTGGAGCCAGACATAGCACCAGAGAATCGTGGAGGGATGCCCGAGGGTCTCTGGTTGTCCTTGTAGATCACGGTGACAGGGGCAGTGCCAGGTTCCTTCTGCTGGTACCAGCCAGCATATTCGTTGCTGTCAAGCCCAGAGCAGGTGATCTGGACGGTTTCTCCCAGGTTTTTCGACACGGAGGGCGGCTGAGTCAGCGCTGCCTGGACCAGGGAACCTGGAGAGGGAGAGGAGAGAGGGGAGAAGACCCGGGTCAGCCAGTGCCCCACGAGCACAGCCCTCCCCGGGCAGCAGAATGGGGACAGGGGCCCTGTTCCATAAGGTCCCAACACCACACAGTGACCCAGAGAAACACACAGAGCAGAGGGCCAGAGCATCCCCGCACTGAGGCAAGTGCAGCAGCAAGAGCAGGATGGGGCTACCAGAAGCACGGCATGGTACAGTCGGGATAACATTCACAGCCACATTCTTGGACAGGAACAGGAGCCCACCACCCCAGATGCAGTGGGGCTTGTCCCTGGGGACCGAGCGGAGACACAGAGACGTGTCCCAGCGCAGAGCCCGAAATGTGCCAGCACAGCCCCCACCCCCAGCCCGGTCCAACCGACTGCAGGGCCAAAAGATGAGGGAGAGGTGGGCGCTGGGGCAGGGGATGGAAGGCAGCACCCACACCTCCCAGTGATGGGGTGGGATGATGCCAACCCCCAGCACCCCTACCCCACTTCCAGCATCTTCCCCTCCTATGGTTGCCCCGTGCCTCACACAGACCTTGGCCGTTCCTGCCCTTCCCAATGCACGTGGGGCCCTGCAGCGCTGCCCTTGCCCCTTCTCTTGCAACAGCCATGCAGTGCCCTACCCCTGCGGGGGGACAACCCCTGCCCGGGCGCACTGGTGCCAAGCTGCTGGCAGCCCTGCAGCAGAAAGGTCCCCGAGGGGCTGGGGGGACACCAAGTTGCACTGGGGCCAGCAAAGCATCCATGAGCTGCGTTAGCAGGAGTGTTGCCAGCAGCCATGGAGAAAGTCCTTCCCCTGGGCTCAGCACCTTGAGGCAAAGCCCAGCACTGTGACAGCTCTGGGGTCCCCAGCCGAGGACCGGGACAGATGGGAGCGAGGCCAGGGAAGGAACCTGAGGATGACGAAGGGCTCAAAGCATCCCTCATATGGAGGGAGAAAGCGCAAGCTGGGATGGCTGAGCCGAAGGCAGGGAGCCTCAGGGGGCATCTTATCAACATTATAAATATCTCCCAGGGGCAGGAAAGAAGATGGAGCCAGGCTCTTCTCTGAGGTGTCCACTGGCGATGCGAAAGGCAAGGAGCACAGGCTGAAACACAGGAAAATCCACCTAAACAGAGCAAAACCTTTTTTCTGCTGCAAGGACGGTCAAACACTGGGACGGGTTTTGCAGAAAGCTGTGAAGTCTCCACCCTGGGAAACATTCAAAACCCGCCTGGACAGGCTGTGGCCAACCCGCAGTGGCCAACCCAGCTCTGAGCAGGGGGTGGGACAAGACGATCTCCAGAGGCACCTCCAGCCCCAGAGATTCTGGGGCTTTCCCCAGCACCCGCAGTACTCTCTTGCTCTGCTGCTTTTCTGCCCTGGCTCTTCCCCTGCCAGCCCAGGCCTAATCTCTCAAGACCTTTATCTTCCCAGTTCTCCACTCCCCAGCACAACGGGAGTCACCCAGTACTGAGCCCCAGAGCTCCAGCAATGCCTCCCCATGAGCTGATCAAGAGCCCAACGGGCTGGCACTGGGCAAACTCTGCCGAAGCCGGGGCAGCCCAGGAGCTCTGCTCATGACTGTCGGGGCAGACCCCAGCCAGCCCTGCTCTGACCCAGGGCACAGGGTTGGTGGCCACCTTCGGTGGCCTCGTGCCTAGCCTAAGAGTGGCTGCAGCCATGGGAAATGCCCTCACCATCACGACCCCTCCTGATCCCCGACTGTGGCCTCCCCAGGGTGCCCAGGGCACAGAGGGACGATGGGCATGGGCAGGGCTGCGGGGGGACTGTCTCCCTGTGGGCAGCACAGAGGAGACCTGCTGGAGCAGAGCATGTGTCCCATGGCAGGAGCCACCTCACGGGCACGTGTGCAGCTCCACCACCACGTGGCCATGTAGGAACAGTCATAGGAGCAGGAGCAGTTGGCACCCGAGGGGCCCTGGGGTAACAGGTCGAGGGAGGTCATCCTCCTCTACTCTGCCTGGTGAGGCCGCATCTGGAGTATTGTGTCCAGTTCTGGGCTCCTCGCTTCAAGAAGGACAGGGAACTGCTGGAGAGGGTCCAGCAAAGGGCTACAATGACGATGAGGGGACTAGAGCATCTTTCTTATGAGGAAAAGCTTAGGCACTTAGTCTAGAGAAAAGACAACTGAGGGGGGATCTTATTAATGCTTATAAATACTTAAAGGAAGGGTAAATAGATGGGAACAGTCTTTCTTCAGAGGTGCACAGCAATAGAACAAGAGGTAACAGGCACAAACTTTAACATAGGAAGTTCCATCTAAACATGAGGAGGAACTTCTTTACGTTGAGGGTGGCAGCCTATGCCCAGAGACGTTGGGGAGTCTCCCACACTGGAGACATTCAGAACCGGCCTGGACACCATCCTGTGCAACCACCTGTAGGTGACCCTGCTCTGGCAGGGGGGTTGGACTAGATGATCTCCAACCCTGACCATTCTGTGTCTCGTTTCCCCAGTGCTGGGAATCACCATGACACTGATCAGCACTGGTATCCCAGCCAGCACAGTAAAAGACAGCTTCTGCCTCAGGTTAGTCCTCAGGGGTGGCTAAAATGACCGTGGGAAATGGCATGTTCCCAACTGTGGTACGCCCCATCGCCACATGGCAGGGGATGAGCACAGACCTGGGGCTCTAAGGGTCACCTGAGCTGGGACACCAGGCACAGCCACATGCTGCACTGCTCAGCAAGGACAGAGCCATGGTGGGGAGCTGCCCCACCATCAAACAGGGATAGCAGAGACTCCTAACTTGCCCCTGCAATGGCGGGGTTTTTTTGTATCACTTCCCCATTGCTCCGTGTCACCGTGGGATCAGTGCTGCCGTCGTAACCACCACAGTAATAGACAGCCTCGTCCTCCGCTTGGACCCCAGTGATGGTTAAGGTGGCCGTGGAGCCAGACATAGCACCAGAGAATCGCGGAGGGATGCCCGAGGGTCTCTGGTTGTCCCTGTAGATCACGGTGACAGGGGCAGTGCCAGGAACCTTCTGCTGGTACCAGCCAGCATAGCTGTTGCTGTTAAGCCCAGAGCAGGTGATCTGGACCGTTTCTCCCACGTTTTTCGACACGGAGGGCGGCTGAGTCACTGCTGCCTGGACCAGGGAACCTGGAGAGGGAGAGGAGAGAGGGGAGAAGCCCCGGGTCAGCCAGTGCCCCACGAGCACAGCCCTCCCCGGGCAGCAGGACGGTGCCCTGTGCCCAATGGCCCCGGCTGCACCAGGGCACGTGAGATATAGGGAAGCACTGTGAGGAGGAGAGGGACCCAGGCGACGACGCGATCCCACCAGCTATGTGTTCCCACACTGATGGGTGTCTCTCACTGGACCCTGCCTGGACCACCCAGAGCCCAGAGGGGCCGGGGCGGCACCAGCTACAGACAGCTCTGGACACGTGGCACAGGGCAGCAGCAACGCCTTTCTCCCCCCAGCCGCACACGTCAGCCCTCCATGCAAATCCGAGCCCGCGCTCTGGGTCAGATCCTGCCCACACTGCCCTCCCCACCCAGCCCCACCACCCCAGATGCAGTGGGGCTTGTCCCTGGGGACCGAGCGGAGACACAGAGACGTGTCCCAGCGCAGAGCCCGAAATGTGCCAGCACAGCCTCCTCCCCATCCTCATCCCGGTCCAAGCGGCTGCAGGGGCAAAAGATACAGGAGAGGTGGGTGCTGGGGCAGGGGATGGTAGGAGGAGGTAGGCGGCATCTGCAGCTCCAACATCCCCGCCACGGGTTGAGGGGAGCAGAGTTAGTGGCTGTGCCGGGGACAGAAAGACAGTCCTTTGCCCAGACTATTGCCACTGGGGTGGATTTTTGGGCCCTAGATGGGCCCAACTAGGCTGTCCCATGGGGAAAGGGCTGGGAAAAGGCAGGCGCAAAGTATCCTTTCCATCCATCCGAGCTCCTCAGCTGAATGTTACCTGCAACCGATGAGCCCCTGGGACCTTAACGTGGAGCAGGCAAGTGGAGCGGGGCTCATCAGAGAGCGCAGAGTGGCCCTCGCCCTTGAGCACCGCAGGGTGCTCAGTGCCACCCTGCCCGTGCACTCCTGGCCCCAGCCCACCATGCATCGCCCTCCCCCAGACACCATGGTCCCTGGCACAAAGCTGGTGGCAAAGGCCACCTGGCACCCCGCTGCCCACACGGCACCTCCTGACACCACAAATGCAGTCCCCATGGGGCCAGTACTCCTGCCCACAGCCTGGCCCTATTGCACACCCTCACCACCAGCCCATGTCACCTGCCCCGTCACACTTGTGGGGATGCAGGCAATGTCAAAGCTGCGCCCCATGACACGGCACCCCATGACGGGGAGGAGCTGGCACCTTTGTCCCCAGCGGTAGCCTGTCCCAGGGTCCCGCAGCAGGACAGGGATGGGGTCAGGGTGCAGGGCAGCGCTTTGCAGTTGTGGGGCCATGGTGGGACATTGGCCAGGGGGGTCCCAGGGGTCAGACATGCTCAGGTTTTCCTGCACGGGCTGAGCATGAGCCCAAAGGGCAAACACAGCCACTCTGGAGTAGCCCAAGGGCTCCTCTTGCAGCGCAACAGAGCAGCCCCTGGCCAGCCCTGCTCTGCCCCAACAGCGTCATGCACAGCCCTGGAGCTGCTGCACCCACGAGAAATGTTCCTTCCCAGGGCTTGAAGGCAAAGCTTTTTCCCAGCTCCCCAGCCCTGGGCATGTCCCCACCTCTCGGCTCTGGACACACAGCTTCAGCAGGGTTGAACCACCCGGGGGTGATGCGCTGGGGGTTCTGGCGCTACTGGGCTGGGAGGAGGGCACAGGGGGGTACCAGGTACAGGGTGCCAGCTGGAAAGTGCAGGAGACCTCAGCCCTGCAGCACAGGACAGGGACAGGGCTGCTGGGAGTCAGCCAGCACTTCTTTACTGAGAGGGTGGTCAAATGCTGGAATAGGCTTCCTAGAGAGGTGTTTGATGCCCAAGCCCATCAGTGTTAACGAGGCATTTGGACAATGCCATTTAGTAAGAGACTTTAATTTTTAATCAGCCCTGAAATGATCAGGAAGTTCGACTAGATGACTGTGGGATGTCCCTTCGCACAAAAATATCCTATTCTGTCCTATCCCGTCCCATCCCATCCCCTCTCCTCCTCAAATGACAGGCAATGGGCACAGTCCTGTCACTCTAAGGGTCACCTGAGCTGGGACACCAGGCACAGCCACATGCTGCGCTGCTCAGCAAGGACAGAGCCATGGTGGGGAGCTGCCCCACCATCAAACAGGGACAGCAGAGACTCCCAGCTCCCTGCAAAGGTGGATTTTTTTTGTATCACTTCCCCATTGCTCTGTGTCACCGTGGGATCAGTGCTGCCGTCGTTGCCACCACAGTAATAGACAGCCTCGTCCTCGGCTTGGACCCCAGTGATGGTTAAGGTGGCCGTGGAGCCAGACATAGCACCAGAGAATCGCGGAGGGATGCCCGAGGGTCTGTTGCTGTTACTGTAGATCACAGTGACAGGGGCAGTGCCAGGTTCCTTCTGCTGGAACCAGCCAGCATAGCTGTTAACCCCAGAGCAGGTGATCTGGACGGTTTCTCCCAGGTTTTTCGACACTGAGGGCAGCTGAGTCACCACTGCCTGGACCAAACCTGGAGAGAGGAGAGAGGGGAGAAGATGGGGAGTCAGCCAGTGCCCCATGAGCAGAGCCCTCCCTGGGCTCCCACCTGCAGCACAGACAGCAAGGGCAGAGCCATGGTGGGGAGCTGTCCCACCATCAAACAGGGACTGCAGAGACTCCTAACTGGCCCCTGTGATGGCGGGAGGTTTTTTGTATCACTTCCACATTGCTCCATGTCACCATTATAGCTGCCATTGTTGCCACCATAGTAACAGACAGCCTTATCCTCAGCATGGACCCCAGTGATGGTTAAGGTGCCCATGGAGCCAGACAAGGATCCAGAGAATCAAAGGGATGTCTGAGGGTCTCATGCTGCTCTCATAGATCACAGGGTCACTGCCAGGTGTGTCCTGCTGGAACCAGCCATAAGCACTGTTGGTCGTCCCGCAGCAGATCACAGGATATTGGGCAGCAGGGACGAGCCCAGCTCACGACTCTCCAGCACCAGGGCCACATCACTGGGACACATTCACAGCCCTGAGATGTGGGGCACGTGGGGAAGGGCACCCGGGAGGGAAACAGGAAAACCCCAAAGCTGGTGAGAGGGTCCTGCTGGGCTGAGAGATAAAACGGACCCCTGTGACAGTCAAGATCTCACTTGCCCGTGGCTCAGTGTCACCCTGAGATCAGCACTGCTGCTGTCTGCACTACCACAGTAATAGACAGCCTCGTCCTCGGCTTGGACCCCAGTGATGGTTAAGGTGCCTGTGGAGCCAGATTTGGATCCGGAGAATCGCGGAGGGATGCCCGAGGGTCTCTTGTCGTTAGCATAGATCACAGTGATAGGGGCAGTGCCAGGAACCTTCTGCTGGAACCAGCCAACTTCATTGCTGCTGCTGCTAATCCCGGAGCAGGTGATCTGGACAGTTTGTCCCGTGTTCGCTGACACTGAAGATGGCTGAGTCAGCATTGCCTGGACCAGGGAACCTGGAGAGGGATACAGAGGGAGGGAAGAAGATGGGGGTCAGCCAGTGCCCCAAAACAACAGCCCTCTCCTGGCAGAGGGATGGGGAATGCCACAACTGGAGGACAAACCCAGCCGCAGTCACAGGCAAATTTGAGTAGCTGAGTCCAGCCCAGCCTATCCCAGCTCCGAAGTAGCTCTGGCAGCAGCAGGAGGACATGGCCATCAGTAGCGAGAGGCAGTGGGGTGGCAGACAAGGCCCCGCTGTGAATTTTGTAGGGACAAGGATAATGGACCCCAGCCATGGAGTCACTTTCAGTACTCTGGGTCATGAAAGGGAGGACATTCACAGTGATGGTCATGCAGAGGGGACAGGAATGTGCCTCAGTGCCACAGCCACAACTCTGCTTGGCCAAGAGGGAGAAGGGCTGAAAACCTCCCTCTGATTTTCATGCCAGTGTCCCACTTCCTATTTTTCCTTGTCCTCCAGACACCATAGCTGCTGCCACCATTGTCGCTACCACAGTAAAGACAGCCTCATCCTCAGCTTGGACCCCAGTGATGGTTAAGGTGCCTGTGGAGCAGGACAAGAATCTGGACAATTGTGAAGGCATGTCTGAAGGTCTCTGGTTGCTCTTGTAGATCACAGTGACAGGGGCACTGCCAAGTACCTTTTGCTGGTACCAGCTGACAGCATTAGCTACTGTTGCTGTAAAGCCCAGAGCAGATGACAGGATGGTTGTTGATGGCCCCATATTCATGTGGCAGGAGGATGTATTGATCCCACCAGGGATCATTGGTGCCTACGTCCCCTGGTACACCACCACCACCTGCAAAACCACACCTGTAATCTGCACTACCCAAACCTTAGTCATCCCTCAACAACAGCATGCCACAGCCACAAACTGCCACCCTGCAGGGTACGTTGACCCTGACCAGCACTGCTGTCCCAGTTACCACAGTAATAGACAGCCTCGTCCTCGGCTTGGACCCCAGTGATGGTTAACGTGGCCGTGGAGCTGGATGCAGAACCAGAGAATTATGAAGGAATGTCTGAGGGTCTCTGGTTGCTCTTGTAGATCACAGTGACAGGGGCAGTGCCGGGAACCTTCTGCTGGTACCAGCCAGCATTGCTGCTGCTGCTAAGCCCAGAGCAGGTGATCTGGACGGTTTCTCCCACGTTTTTCGACACGGAGGGCGGCTGAGTCAGCGCTGCCTGGACCAGGGAACCTGGAGAGGGAGAGGAGAGAGGGGAGAAGACCCGGGTCAGCCAGTGCCCCACGAGCACAGACCTCCCCTGGCAGGGGAGGCTCTGATGCCACAGAGGGACCCACAGCCCCACAGGCAGAGCTGAAAACTAGAGACCCATGGCCCTGCAAGGAGAGCTGGCAGCAGCAAGGAAATGGAACACCACCCTCTGAGGGAAAGGGACCTGGTCATGGCTACAGACACTTTGGGGGAGCAGAGCCCAGCATGGCCCAGAGCAACCCAGCAGAGACAGGAGCAGCAGTGGCAATAGGACGGGGCAGCAAGAGGCAGTGGGGCAGGGGATGAGGCAATGCCATTCCCATTCCTGGGGACAGGAAAAGGAAACCCCAGCCCCAGGGTCACCTCCTGTGCCTTGGGGCATGGAAGTGGGGACATTCACATCCATGTCCTTGGACATGGGACAGGAATCTGCCACAGCTACAACCCTGCTTGGGCATGAGGGAAAAGGGCAGAAATCCTTCCTTTTCAGTGCTGGGTCTGTATCTCACTTCCCCATAACTCAGTGCCTCCATGCCCTGATCAGCACTGCTGCCGTCGTAACCACCACAGTAATAGACAGCCTCGTCCTCGGCTTGGACCCCAGTGATGGTTAAGGTGCCCGTGGAGCCAGATTTGGATCCGGAGAATCGCGCAGGGATGCCCGAGGGTCTCTTGTCGTTGTAGTAGATCACAGTGACAGGGGCAGTGCCAGGAACCTTCTGCTGGAACCAGCCATAGTTGCCGCTAGCACCTGAGCAGGTGATCTGGACGGTTTCTCCCAGGTTTTTCGACACAGAGGGCGGCTGAGTCAGCGCTGCCTGGACCAGGGAACCTGGAGAGGGAGAGGAGAGAAGGGAGAAGACGGGGGTCAGCCAGTGCCCCACGAGCACAGCCCTCCCCGGGCAGCACAATGAGACCCATGAGCCCACAGTCCCCGGACGGGCACGTCGTGTCTGGCCAGAGCTCCTGAGCCGTGGGCGAGCACTGCGAGGAGGAGAGGGGCTCAGGCCACGGCACTATCCCACCAGCTCTGCATCCCCATGCTGATGGGCCTGTGACATGGACTCAACTCCCTTTTTAAGACCCTGCCTGCTCAGGCACAGCTCCTCCATGAATATGTGGCTTCCAGTGTTCACCAGTAGCTCCTGCCCCAGTGCTCCCCTGCCCACTGCAGGCACATCTGTGGCTCACAAAAGCTGCCAAGATCATCTGGGCTGCCTGCTCCCAGGGTACCTGCTCCTTCTCCAACATGGGTGCTGAGCGCTCAGCTCAGTCAGGACCCACCAGGTGCCAGTCCCTGCCTGGCAGGACCGTGGCTTCGCTGCACCGGGAGGGAACTCCCGTGCCCAGTGTCCCCAACTCTGCCCGGCGCTTGCTGGTCCCTGGGTGGCTGTGCTAGCCACACTCTGCTCAGCAGCACTGGCAGAGGAGCTGGCAAAGCCTGGCCCTGCTTCAAACGAGGAGGGCACAGCTGAGCCTCTGTCAAGCTCCCCAAGAGAACTGCAGAGCAGAGAATTGGGATCTGGAAGGGGACTGGAAGCACACGGGCACCGGGAGCTTCAGGGCTGCCCAACAGGAAGGAAAAAAAAAGCCCCCAGTTCCTGCAGCTCAGGGTGAGCCGGGGGTCTCCAGCGGCCTCGCAGCAACCACGAATAGACTCAGGCTGGAGCTGGTACCAATCAAGCACACGTTCCATCTGCCCACGCTTGCCCGCCCAGGGGCAGCCCCTCTTCTGCCGCCGACAGCACGGGCCACAGCAGCCTCCCCAGGGCTGTGCCGGGGCTGCCCTGCACCGGGGCGTTAGGCACCGCGCTGCGGGGCCACACTGACACCGTGTGGGGACGAGAAGGACCTCAGGGACAGCACCCGAGGAACCGAGAGCAGAACCCAGCACAGGACTCTGCCCACGCTGACCCTCAGCCCTACCAGAGATACCACCGAGTCAAGAGACATCTCCAGCCCCTACCACAGCCTCCGCGGTACCTGCAGGGGACCCTACACAACGGGACAGCCTCTCGCACAGACACGGGGCCCTTGGGCACTGATGCTCTCACCGGAGGAGGGTGGGCATCAGCCCTGAACTGGCAGGGAGCCCAGAGGAGGGCACCAGACATGATGACAGGGTTTCTCCCAGCTTCTCTGGGCCAGAGGACCAGCCACAGGATGAGATATTTTGAGGGCAGGAACATCCAGCCGTACCACAGATCTGCATTACCTGAGCTGTGTCATTTCCACTCTGCTCAGCCAAGAGGGAGAAGGGCTGAAAACCTTCCTCTGACTTTCCAGTCTGTCTCACTTCCTATTACTCCTTGTCACCAGACACCATAGGTACCGCTGCTGCTGTCCCAGCCACCACAGTAATAGACGGCCTCGTCCTCAGCTTGGACCCCAGTGATGGTTAACGTACCTGTGGAGCCTGAGAAGGATCCAGAGAATTGCAAAGGATGTTCTGAGGGTCTGTTGGTGTTACTATGGATCACAGTGACAGGGGCACTGACGGGTACCTTCTGCTGGAACCAGCCATAGTAGTTGTCAATCCTGGAGCAGGAGATCCAGCTGTTTACTCTGGGGGACACGTACATTGAGGGCGGCTGAGAAGGCCCTGCTTGGAGACACAGAGAGGGAGAGGAGAGAGGGGAGAAGATGGAGCTCAGCGAGTGCCCCAGGAGAATGTTCCTCCCTGGGCAGCGCGATGGTGAAGGGACTCCTCTGCCCTCAGGCACATGGACGGGACACCCCGGGTGCAGCCCCAGGCCCAGGCACCCCCCGAGGAGTGGCTGGAGCCCCAGGCCGGGCCAGGGTCATGGCCTGCCGTGGGCACCCAGTGTTTGTGGCGGTCTGGAGACATCCCTCTGCCCATGTCCAAAATGGGGCCAGGTCCAGGCCAACAGCCAGGGTCTGCAGGGCAGGAATCCCCAGAGAGTGAGACAGAGGGAACGGGGGCAGCTCCAGCACAGCATGGGCACCAGAAGGGAGGTGGCATCAGGAGAGAGCTGCAGAAAACAACCCTGCAAAGGCAGAGCCTTAACAGGCGGAAATGAAAAAGGGAACCGTCTACTTACTCTCTGCAGCTCTTCTCCACGCAGGGGAAGGTGTAGCAAAGAATAGGAGGGAAAAAACCTAATATCAGCATCACCATGACCCGGAACCAGCATTGCTGCCGTCGTCACTACCACAGTAATAGACAGCCTCGTCCTCGGCTTGGACCCCAGTGATGGTTAAGGTGGCCGTGGAGCCAGATGTGGATCCGGAGAATCGCGGAGGGATGCACGAGGGTCTGTTGTTGTTGTTGTAGATCACAGTGACAGGGGCAGTGCCAGGAACCTTCTGCTGATACCAGCCAGCATAAGCATAGCTGCTGCTAATCCCAGAGCAGGTGATCTGGACAGTTTCTCCCACGTTTTTCGACACGGAGGGCGGCTGAGTCAGCGCTGCCTGGACCAGGGAACCTGAAGAGGGAGAGGAGAGAGGGGAGAAGATGGGGGTCAGCCAGTGCCCCAGAACCACCGCCCTCCCTTGATGGGCAATGGTGGGACAGCAGAGACTCCTATATGGCCCCTGTGATGGTGGGAGGTTTCTGTATCGCTTCCCCATTGCTCTGTGTCACCATCAGATATCATAACTGCTGCTGCTGTCCCAGCCACCACAGTAATAGCCAGCCTCGTCCTCAGCTTGGACCCCAGGGATGGTTAAGGGGCCCGTGGAGCCAGATTTGGATCCGGAGAATCGCGGAGGGATGCCCGAAGGTCTCTCGTTGCTACCATAGATCACAGTGACAGGGCCAGTGCCAGGAACCTTCTGCTGGAACCAGCCATAGCTGTAGCTGCTCCCAGAGCAGGTGATCTGGACGGTTTCTCCCACGTTTTTTGACACGGAGGGCGGCTGAGTCAGCGCTGCCTGGACCGGGGAACCTGGAGAGGGAGAGGAGAGAGGGGAGAAGATGGGGTCATCCAGTGCCCCACGAGCACAGCCCTCCCCGGGCTGCATGATGGGGACAGGGCCCCTGTTCCATTAGGTCCCAGTGCCACACAGGGACCCAAAGCAACACACACTGAGCACTGGGGCCCTGCCAGGAGAGCTGGCCAAAGCAGGGACATGGAGGGCCTGTGTTGGAGAAAGGCCCCAGTTGGAGTATGGGCACATTATGGGGGAGCAGAGCCCTTCCCAGGCCAGAGCATCCCAGCACAGAAGCAGCTCCCGCAGCAAGAGGAGGACGGGGCTGCGAGGAGCAAGAGGCACTGGGGCGGGTGACAAGGCAACGCCATGTCTTCTGTAGGAACAGACACGAAACCCCCCCAGCCCCAGAGTCACCTCCCAAATGGCGTGCAACAGTTGGGATAACATTAACAGTCATATCCTTGGACGGGTATAGGAGCTTGCCTCAGCCCCACAGCCCTGGTCAGCCATGAGGGAGAAGAGCAGAAAGACCTATTTTTAACTCCTCTGTACCCCACTTCCACCTCTCTCTGTGTCACTACAGCAGCATCACTGCTGCTGTCTCTCCTCCCAAAAGCCTTATCCTCAGCTTGAACCCCAGTGATGGTTAAGGTGCCCGTGGAGCCAGATTTGGATCCGGAGAATCGCGGAGGGATGCCCGAAGGTCTCTCGTTGCTACCATAGATCACAGTGACAGGGCCAGTGCCAGGTTTCAGCTAGTACCGACCAACATAATCATAGCTGCTGCTGCTAAGCCCAGAGCAGGTGATCTGGACAGTTTCTCCCACGTTTTTCGACACGGAGGGCGGCTGAGTCAGCGCTGCCTGGACCAGGGAACCTGGAGAGGGAGAGGAGAGAGGGGAGAAGACCCGGGTCAGCCAGTGCCCCACGAGCACAGCCCTCCCCGGGCAGCGGGACGGGGCTCCTGTGCCCAAAGGCCCCGTCCGGTTGCAGCGAGTCTGGCCAGAGCACCTGAGACATGGGCGAGCACCGCGAGGAGGAGAGGGACCCAGGCCATGGTGCGATCCCACCAGCTACGTGTCCCCACGCCGATGGAGCTGTCTCACTGACCCCGACTCCCTTTTAAGCCCCCACCTTCCTGGGGCACGGCCCCTCCATGCAAATCTGACTTGGAACCAGAGAATCGCGGAGGGATGCCCGAGGGTCTCTGGTTGTCATTGTAGATCACAGTGACAGGGGCAGTGCCAGGTTCCTTCTGCTGGTACCAGCCAACAGCATTGCTGCTGCTGCTAAGCCCAGAGCAGGTGATCTGGACCGTTTCTCCTGGGTTTTTCGACACGGAGGGCGGCTGAGTCAGCACTGCCTGGACCAGGGAACCTGGAGAGGGAGAGGAGAGAGGGGAGAAGACCCGGGTCAGCCAGTGCCCCACGAGCACAGCCCTCCCCGGGCAGCAGGAGGGGGAAGGCCACAATCGAAGGCCAATGGAACCAACCAGTGTCAAGGGCAAATTTGGGGGGCTGAGTCCATCCCAACCCATCCCAGCACAAAGGCAGCTCTGGCTGCAGCAGGAGGATATGGTCATCAGCAAGAGACAGTAGGGTGGGCAAGAATGTCAAGCTGTGAATTTTTTAGGGACAAGGATAACGGTCCCCAACCACAGAGTCACCTTCAGTGCTCCAGGACTTGAAAAGGAGGACATTCGCAGAGATGGTTATGCAGAGGAGACAGGAACCTGCCACACCACCACAGCCACAATTCTGCTTGGCCAGGAGGGAGGAGGGCTGAAAACATTCCTCCGACTGTTGAGCATGTGTCTCACTTCCTATTATTGTCTCTCTCGAGACACCATAGCTGTTGCTGCTGTCGGAGCCACCACAGTAATAGACAGCCTCGTCCTCGGCTTGGACCCCAGTGATGGTTAAGGTGGCCGTGTAGCCAAATACAGAACTGCTGAATTGTGAAGGGATGCCCGAGGGTCT